TGGTATTGGACCAGGACTAATTTAGATATCACCATTGATGACAGTCTATACAATTAGACTGAACACAAAGCACCTTTATTGGCAACATATTGTTTAAACCACTGGTTATTTTGAACAAACGTTTACTTACAAAAATAATCTAAAACGCATTAACTTGTTTTAAAGGACTGCTATATTTTAGATATCGCATTTCAAACGTTCTCGAACAACCATATTTACGATTGCAGATGGACAATCTTAGGGTAAATTAACGGATGACGACATTGCACTGAATATATGGATTAATTCATTTATCGAATGCTTTTACATGTGACTTTCACACAGCGCACCAGATACACAAGACACGTAAGTAATTGAATAAATACATATGTATGTCAATGTTATGTGAGTGCACGTTGGAGTAATGCATTTTAGCCAATTAAGTTTCTTAATAGCAGCCTAAAGTTACCAGTTGTCCCGAGATTAATTTCGAACGTGATGCATATACAAATGTGTTACCATTCTAATAGAGTATTAAAAAAAAAGATAAATGCAGTATAACTTAATTATGCTACTAATTACAAAGTATAGACATTTTTGACTACTTGTGTTGTGGTTATTGCAAACATGATGCCTTGAATAAAGGTGTCAGTTTTGTATCAGTTTAAAAGGGTAAAAACGTACTACTATATTTTGCCACTGGTAAAAGAGATCTCATAGTGTAAATGCTTACCCCGAGCTCTCAAGACTCTGATATTGCACTGTGTTTGAGTTGTACGCCTTCTGGTGTCATCTGGTCCAACACCAATGGGGACTAGGCTCTAAAGAAAGCCGTCTCGGGTGTGGACCAATCAACTTCAAGGACAGTGCACATTATTATCATTATCAGAGTTGCTTCTTTTTGTTTGCTTTTTTGACTACTTGTGTTGTGGTTATTGCAAACATGATGCCTTGAATAAAGGTGTCAGTTTTGTACCAGTTTTAAAGGGTAAAAACCTACTACTATAGACATTTAACTGCAGGACTCGCGTCTGGCACTTGAACAGCAGTGACTGTGGCGTCTGCTCTCCCCAGCAACAGGTTGCAGTGTTGACACTGGACACTTGTTAGCTTCAATGAAGCGATAATACTGATAGGAACGAAGTGAATCAGCCTACAATAGATTATATCGTCCGTCCATCCGTCCGTCCGTCGCCCCCTACTGCAAACACTTGGCAGGACCCTACAAAAACCTTTACACTCAGTGAGGCTTTCCTGGCTAAACAAGTGTAATAATACATTATGTTTATATTCTTTGGTTATTCGTTCCTACCAGCCCACCCCGCAGGGACCTGTTTTCACATCAACCACCAATAAGAATGTCTACGCTCGCATACATTCGTGTATAATGAGAAGTGGAAGTACATATGTAACACGTGCATCCAGCTAGAATCTATGCAGTAAATTCATGTTTTGAAGGTGAAAAAAGCACATACTGGACATGCGTACGTAACTACTTTTGAACTTGGAATTACGTTTTGCTTTATTTCTAGGAGCTCTATATAATATAATATCATATAACGTACATGCAACGTTGCTACGACGTTGTAAAATCCATCCTGATATACAGTATATGGTGAAACGTTATAAAAACGGTCATTTCAAACATACCCAAAGTGCAACCTTAGGCAGCGCTGCAGTAACGTTATGAGAAATATACCTATTGCTATAATAGGTTAGCCAGGCAATAACCCATTGAAACAAGGTGTTTATTGTTCAAATGCAGTTGATGTTTAACAATGTTCTACCGCAGGGGTCCTCAAACTTTTTAAACAGGGGGCCAGTTCACTGTCCCTCAGACCGTTGGAGGGCCGGACTATAGTAAAAAAAGAACTATGAACAAATTCCTATGCACACTGCATATATCTTATTTTGAAGTGAAGAAAGAAAATGGGAACAAATACAATATTTAAAATGAAGAACAAGTAAAGTTAAATCAACAAACTTGCCAGTATTTCAATGGGAACTATGGACCTGCTTTTGGCTAATGAGATGGTCAATGTTCAGTTCCATATTTGTCACTGCTAGTCGTAACAAGTGATGCAAGTGTGCATCCGTTAGTCTAGATCTGGTTGGAGATTTCAAATGTTTCATTCTGGAAAAAGTCTGTTCACAGACATAAGTGCTGCCAAAGATGGTTGCCATTTTGAGTGCATGGTTCCTGAGATGAGGATATGTCTCAGAGGGGAGAGATGCATAGAAATTATGAAGGCTGCTTGACTTGAATGCGTCTTTCAGAGAGTCACAATTCTGCAGTTCAGCCAGTTCCATTTGGTAAATTGTATCCACATTTTCAATGTCAATAGAAAATGGGTTACGGAAAAGCTGTATGTCCTGTTCATGGCGATGAAGCTCTTTAAATCTAAATTGGAACTCCTTTTGCAATTTTTCCAGTGAATCCACACATGTTTTGTTTGGGAATTACAACCAATGGTTTTTCCGCTAACAGATTTTGAGTTGTGGGGAGATGGCAGAAGTTTTCCTCCTCAACTTGTTTGATGAGGAGGCCTAATTCTACTTCAAATGCTTTGACATGTGATTGCATATCACAGAGGAGCTTCCCCTTTCCTTGAAGTTGCACATTGAAACTGTTGAGTAGCTCTGTTACATGTCAGAAACGCAAGGTGCCATTTCCATTCTGCATCATTGAGCTCTGGTACTTCTTTGTTTTTTGAAAGCAGAAAAGCTGTAATCTGTGGAAGTAAGTCATAGAAACGTTTCAAAACTCTCCCTCGACTCAGCCAACGGACTTCTGTGTGGTACAGAACATCTTCATAGTCAACATTTAGTTCAGACAGAAATTCCTGAAATTGTCTGTGGTTTAGTGCATGAGCTCTAATGAAGTTAACACAAGATACCACAATTTTCATAACAGAATCCCACTTCAGTGATTTACTACACAGCGCTTGTTGGTGGATGAGGCAGTGTATGGCTATTGGATGAGAATGGTTATGTTTGTCCATCTCTTGGTTAATGCGAGCAATTACTCCTTTCTTAGACCCCACCATGCTAGGAGCACCATCAGTTGTCACACTGGCTAGTTTAGCCCAATTTAGCTCCAAACCATTCACAGTTTGGCAAACCTTTTCATAGATATCCTCTCCTGTAGTTGTTCCTTTGATGCTTTGCAGTGCAGCAAGCTCTTCTGTGACTTCGAAATAGTCATTCGTCCCACGAATAAAAATTACAAGTTGTGCAGAATCACGAACATCATTGCTTGCGTCGAGTGCCAAGGAAAAATAGGAAAGTTTTTTTGTGGAGTTTTGCAAATGCTGATGCAAATTGTCTCCCATTTCTTCAATCCTCCGTGTAATTGTAGGTCCTGAAAGACTCACTGTACTAAATAAATCGGCCTTCTCTGGACACATCTCTTTGGCAACAGAAAGAAGGCATTCTTTAACAAATTCTCCCTCCATGAATGGTCTGCCAGTGCACGCTATTAGCTTGGCAACTTGAAAACTTGCTCTCAGTGATGAAATATTTAGCTGCTTCTGCTTCACAAAAGTATTTTGCTGAGTTGTTAATGTATTTTTTAGTTTAATATTTTATCTTTTCTCCGACCAAACAATCATATTTATCTTTATGTTGAGTTTCATAGTGTTGACTTAAATTGTATTCTTTGAACACAGACACTATATTCTGGCATATCAGACACACAGCTCTTTCCTTGTACTGCATGAAAAAGTAATCATAAGTCCACTGTTCTTTGAATATCCTACACTCCGAGTCAATTTTTCTCTTTCTTGACATCATTGTTTCCTAGGGAGTCAAAATTGCTATTAGTAAAATACCAATATATATACAGCGCTACAAAAAACAATATACCAGCAATAACTTTGCCCACACAGAGACATACAGACTGCACTGCCCATCAATGCAGTCCGATTGGGGGAACTCCGCTTTTACCCCAGGCTCACACTGGTGCGGGTGCCATTATAAAGTTAATTACACCTGCAGTTTTGTTCACAGATCGCAGTACATCCCCAGCACACATGAATATCACTGGGAGTGGAGCCGAGGGGCAAGTGAGGGAGCTGATCGAGGCAGAGCCAGTCAAGCACAGCCAGGGGAGGGCTGGCAGCCTTAGGCCTGGGGGGCAAGTCCAGTCAATTGGCCCATTGAACCATTCACCAGCGCAGCCCAATGAGTGCCCACCGCCGCAGCTCAATCAGTACTCACCACCGCAGCCCAATTAGTGCTCACCAGTGCAGCCAAATCAGTGCTCACCGCCGCAGCCCAATGAGTGACCATGGGATGTGGGTGTCATCTGTCTCACCTCTTCGGTTCGGGGGCAATGATGCTGCCAACTTCCTCCAAGCTGCCTCTGCTCTAAAAGACTGTGGCTGCGCTGTGATGCTCAGTCTGTCACGTCTCCCGCGGTCTCTCTCCCACGAACCAGCTTCCGGCTTTCACTGCCCACAAGTCACCGCGCAGCTGGCCCCTCCCACATGCCCTGGCTTCCTCTGAGTCCTGGGAGGTGGGGGGCCGGATAAATGTCGTTGGCGGGCCGCATGTGGCCCGCGGGCCGTAGTTTGAGGACCCCTGTTCTACCGCATATATCTGGATTGATGAGATCAGCTCATGGTGCAGGAATGAAATGGATTGTGGCATCACTGGACCATGGGAGATTGAGACTGTTTGGGGAACCCTCCATAATAAACAATAGCTGATGATTATTATGCAATCCATTTCAAATACTGCATTGACATTTTCTTACTACTCAAGCAATGGCAGCCCTTGACCAGTGGCAGAAATCTAATATTTCCATGATGGAATGAGAATAACCACCCCAAATTGGGATTTGCAATATTCCCATTGTAAGTCATCTTCCTCCTGGGGTCAATAAAACGAGTACTATTTTGTGAGAAGGCATCATTCTTCCAATATAGTGCATGACATCTGCAGCTGTAATTATGTTAGTAAATTAACGCGATTTTTTTTTGCTAATTATTTGCTAATTATGGCTGACACGTGTGCTGGAGTATTAGCAGAACAAGCCACGCGCGTCTTTGTAAGTGAATTGATTTCGGCAATTAGAGAATTTGTCCAAGCTAATTGGGAAGTGCATGCTTAACCATTTAATGCATGCGCTTGTCATTATGGCATTGCAAACACATTTCATTCAACAGCAGTACGGTATTTACAATAAAATTATCTCACACAGAGTATAATTAACGGTAAAGGCACAAGCATATTTCAACTGCAATCTTACTTTTCACTGCAATCCACATACCACTGCTACTAAGGATACACGTGAAAATATGCATTTGTATGTGTTTATATTAGGTCATATGTACTAGGTTATCTTTCACTGGGTAGTGTATGGGAAGTGCTGCGTATTCCATATTGTCCTACACGGGCATCAGATACCCACTAGAATAGGCAGCAATATAACGGCAAGGATAGTTGATATCGATGGAGATGAAGTGAGGGGATATGATATGTACGTTGTTTGTGCATGTAAGACAAGTAGCTAGTCTTTCGTAGAATTACTTCAATTGAAGTGGTTGGGATGCTGTCGCCATTATAAAACAATTTAATCAACATTTGTACAATTGTTCATGGATAGTACTTTAATGAAAGAAAGAAGACAAAAAAAGCTAACCGTTACAAAGTCTACATTCTTTCAAATAAAACATGAGTGCAGTACGGAATATGTATATTCTCTGCACGTCCCAAATGTTCCTAGAGGCCCGGGGCACAAGCCACATGGGGCCTCTTACTCCATCATCGTGGGGCCCTCATTTGTGTAAGGTTAGAGTTAGGGCCTCAATCAAACATTGGTTAGAGTGTCCTGCAATTTTTAGAAATATGTACAAATGAAAGATATTGGGTGTCTTTAATTAGCTATGTTGTGCATGAAAGACCAATGTAACAGAAAAATATGTAAGACTTTATGTAAACAATTAGAAACTCACCAAAAAAGAAAGTGCATGCAAGGTAGGCACAAACAAGGCCAATATATCATATAAGGCCAATATAATATGCTCAATACAACCACTTATTATTCAATCTTATCATTTCGTATACAGGCCATTACTCTCCATCATGCAGTTATTTCAAAATGTCCTTTAACATATACATATTTTCCAGTTAAACCTACAATTGACTGCAAAACAATTATTATACAGCATACAGTATTTCCCATCAAAGTCTATACCATTTCAGTGTAAAAACTCCATGCAGTTGGGCCATTCACATTTGCTCCAGTTTTTTCTCTATAGTCAAGTTTATTGCAAAATAATAATAATAATAATGTATAGGCTTGCGTGAATTTGCTGTTAGATGTAGGCCTCCCCATCTTGCATACATGCTGACAATGTTTGACTGTCGACCCTCGACTTGTTGGTGAAAACCCTGCTGTTAAACCAGAATGATAACACATGATAAAAAATACCTGGTACCTAAGTATGAATTAATTGATACGTTAAATACAAACAGTTCTGGGTTCATATCATCGCTGAAATTTGAGCGATCCACAAATCTCAACTTCACTGTGGAATGGCAAAGGGCTATATCTGGGGAAATGTTATTTATGAGGTGCTGTAATCGATAACCGATTATTGTTTTGATCACTTAACGAATCAGAGAACTCCAAAATAGTTGGGGGGAAAAAGTTCTAAACTGTTTGGCCATGTGTGCCGCTAGACAAGAGGTAATGGGTGGTCTTTGGTGACGTCATCTGTATCATCAACTGCGTATTTAGGAAAGTTTACATAACTTGTGTTGTGGGGTTGTTTGAGAAATAGAAAGAAGCATAAAATACCTTGAATTGAACATTGATTGTCCTTAGCTTTGGTCAGGCTAATGGGTGGCTACCATTTCAAAAGAGGCCCAAGTAATAGTCCACAAAACAACTAGTAGACTAAAATCTGCAGTTAATCGATTAATGCCCCCAGCTCTATGGACTAAACAGCTGGTTGGATCCCTTCTGAACCAATGCCTCCTCAACCCCGGTGCCAACCCAGGGTCGCTTGACCTCTTTGCCCTTGCACTTGCGACCCAGCGCCTTGCCCAGCATCCTGGGCCCTGTAGCTTCGGGGGAATCCGAGCCGGCTTCACCGCCATCGCCAGCCTCCTGCGGCCCGTCGGTGTCCGTTGAGCCCCCCTTCTCGAGCAGGTCGAAGGGCAGCAGGGCATCGGCGACCTTGTGCAGCTTGGGGGGCAGCAGGTCGGTGGCGGAGACGTGCTCCTTGAGGCCAGACCACTGCACGGCCTGGGAGGTGATGCCACCCATGCTGCTGCGGGTGCGCTCTGACAGGGCACGCAGCCAGTCCCCGATCATGCAGAGCAGAGCCGCAAAGTACGCCATGCCCACCAGCACCCACAGCCACACGAGTGGCTTGTACCCGTCGAAGTAGATGCGATCCGGTTTGCTGCCTAGAGGTCAAGAGACACGATGATTTATTTAAAATAATACTTTTTTTTTTACAACATTTTACCCTGGTTATGATACCGGTGTCATATCGTGAGATTACCTATGCATGTGGATCTCTGCAGAGCAGTGCAATGGTCCTTGTTAGAAAACAGCCCACATAAGTGGATACCACAGAGCTACCTCTGAGATGTATTCAAGTGACCTCTGGTCAGTCGGAGGCAGCACTTTTCCACTTGCCCTGCCAGGGATTAATGTTTGTAGCGTGACTGTCAAGCCAATATTTTTAATTTTCAGATATGCAATGTATCAAAATGAATGAATAGAACAAAAATCGATGTTACGTGTTTTATGTCCTGATATTGGTGACCAGGCTGAGACTATTAGCTCATACTCTATACTCTTTAGTTCTTTCGGTAAAGTCACGTAGGTATAAAATAAAATAAATAATAAATAAATAATAAATAATAAATAAATCAAAACTCGATGTTTCGGAAGCAACACAAGCTTCCGCCATCAGGTGGGACAGCCACAGCAAGAAACAAATTGCTGCAGTGGGCAAAAGAGCTGCTTGTGACAAGAGTGACAAGAGATTATATAAGGTAAGAGGGGGGGAGGAGCCAGGGAGAAGAGATGGAGAGGGTGGGGGGGCTCTGCCAACTGTGCATGAGGGAATTATTCTGTGCCGGATGGTGGTGGGAATCAGGTTTCAGATAGGAATCTGTGTGGGTGGCTTTCCTGTAGACAGTGTCCCAAATAGCCATCAGGTTTTTTCTCAAACAAAACATCCAGGAATGGTAGCTTACCATCCTTCTCCACTTCCATGGTGAATTTGATGAATGGGTGTATGGAGTTAATGTGGTCGAGAAATTGATTTAATGCTGGCAGGCCATGTGGCCAAATGACGAAAGTGTCATCCACATATCTCTTCCACAGGGAAGGACGTAGGGTGGATGTCTGGATGGCGTCTGTTTAAAATTTATCCATGAAAACGTTCGCTATCACTGGTGACAAGGGGGCACCCATGGGGTACCCTCATTTTGTTTGTATAAAGTACCATTCCAGGTGAAGTACGTGTTGGTAAGGCAGTGCCTAACCAGAGCAAGAACATCAGGGTTCAGTCCATGTTGGACTAAGTCTTCAATTATTGCTATGGTGTCAGGCACTGGAACCTTAGTGAACAGAGAAACCACATCAAAGCTTTAGGTGCCAGTTTAACCACTGGTGGCTCTGTGGATACGAACCTAGGATATCAGTGGTGCCAGCTCTGTGCTCTGATCTCTGAGCCACTCGACCCACTCAGGAGGTTTTGCTTTTAACACTTTGTCCACTGCCATCCGGTACATCAAATTATATTACTAGCATCTCAGTTGAGAGTTATTTTCATCACAATATTCATCGCAAAAAGGGAACATGTGCTACTCCATCATTGATCTGGAGCATTGGCAATCTTCCCCCCTTGTGATGTGTCCTGCTGGTGTCCAATTACTTTTCTTAACAGTCAATGTGATATATGATTCGTGTTTGTGGTCTGTTCTGTGGGTTTTCTTCCTCTTTCACAGCGTAATTCCATACACCTCACCGTGCTTCTGCTTTGATTGTATTGTTCTTGTCAGTGTCCACATTTCTGGTCATCCGTCATGGAATAATTACAGTACTCTGGAAAGTGTATCAAGATTCTAATTGAATGGGCCATTTGCTTATGCTGCATTGCCAGTGGCGTACAAGCAGCATTCACACAAAAAACTCAACATATTTGGCAATCACTCTGTGGATACTCGGTGACTTTTCAGGCAATGGCCCTTTTTTAAAGCACATTTATGTGGCAGGTAGTGTTAATGATGAATGTGTTGAGTTTTTAATGTACATGTAATGGGTAAGGGCTATTTATGTATAACGTTAATGATGTGATTTAATACATATTTTGTGAGGAAATATATTTTAAAAAATTTAATGAACTGTAATTACAATTTAACACGTAGGCTTTCGCGACCAATATTATCGATAATAGAGGTTTTTTTTATTAGGCTCACAGTGATGACATCACCGTTGCACTATTGAAGACCGAAACAGGAGGACTTCTTCACAATTCTGGCTAATCGCCTGATGAAGCTGGTTGTAATCACCAGTGTAACGTCGTACTCCGAATTGTAAATGTTGTGGGTTTACTCTCCAACACACCGGTGTGCTGAAGAAGTTTACTAATTTGTACCTTTTGTTTACATGACAAACCTTACTAATTCGCTGTGTCAGGTGGTGGTGGCTTTAACGACACATTTGTATTTACGCGATCTAACCCAAAAAAAACCCTCTCTATTACGTAATTACAATACAAAATTTCGCTAAATGAACGTATTAATGATTTATTGCAGCAAACTGCAGCGCGTCACGGTGCGCGTGGGACTGACCAGCCACAAAGTCTCCGAAACCGATGGTGGTGAGCGTGACGATCACAAAGTAGACGGCCTCCAGTGTGCTCCATTCCTCGATGTGCATAAACACGGCGATGGGAACCCCTCCAAAGAGCAGCAGTCCCCACGAGGATGAAGAGCAGCGCCGAGATGACACGGATCCGGTCCGCGCTCACGTTCCAGCGCTGGCACGCAAACGCGGAGACTCAGTGCACCAACACGCCCTCACCAGTGTGGTGTACAGTCAAATAACCCCTGTGTATTTATGTTGAACTTCTTTCAGATAGTACGTAGTCAACCGTGCTAGTCGGAGGTGCAGGGGAAGGACAAGCTAAATACGAAAAGCAGTTGTAAAGAAAACTAATTCAATCTAGATTTTAAAATGCATAGCTCCAGTGGCTTCCTAATATCTGAAGGAAGAGCGTTCCAGACGGCCGCAGAAGTGCATCCAATTAATTGCGCCTTCATGAATGTAAATCATTATTATTATTATTTACCCTTTCCCCATTCCGAGACACCTGCAAGTTGGAGGGTGGGTCCCGTTCACCTATGAATCTCGGAGCGCGCAAACGGCTCTGCACTCTACGATACCTGGGGCCAAACTGTGCCACACGCCCTCCCACATGGCCTTGTGGGAGCCTCGGTACCGATAACATTATTTTATTTTCGTTTTTATTCTGGTGTCGTTTTGTACATGTACGTCATTGGAAGAAAAACTAACATCGCAAAAAGAAATGGTGAAAAGGGAAAAAAATATATATTCAATTCGACAACATTTTGGGCAATGGGCCTTCTCCAAAAGCACATTAATTAATTCTCTATGAAGAAGGACCATGGCCCAAAACGTAACCTATTACATATTTCTCCCTGTAAAAGGCCACCGGTGCAGTGCAGTGATGAACGCGTCGAGTGTTTTCGTTCGAACAACGACGACGGGTACCATGAAGAGGCGCTCCACGTGCCCGATACCCCGTCCGATGAGCGAGCCGAGCTGGTCACCCACCCCGGCGAGCAGAAAGCCGAAGAGGGGGATGCCGAACAGGGCGTACACCGTGCAGAACGTGCGGCCGCCCTCCGTGCTGGGTGACGGACTGCCGTAGCCTGCACGGCGGGTCACGTGGAGCACAGCGCAAAGCGACGGGGTCACGCTGCTAACGGTAACCAGATGCTCCATTGATATGAACTTGTTGGTACCACCGAGTTTTGCCATCTCTCTTGAGGTGCACACAAAAATATAAACGGGACGTATCACAGTAAGAAGAATATCGAAAGAGGGGAGAGCTACGTGAAATGCCTTGTCTTGAGCGGTGTACTGACACGCAATTTACACAACATATAGGACTGTTAATGTCCAGGGAAGACTTACGGATTTCCCAGGACAGTTACGGGACATTTATCTCAGCAGCAGAATGATTCTTGGAAAACACAGGACAGGTGGCAAGCTGAGTTCCACCTTAGACGGCAAAATGTAGTTATGTATATATGTTTTACCCACCCCCGGTTTACAGCCCTGAAACACTCGATACTGTTGCAATGGCCACGCCTGGAAGACCAGTACAAGTGGTAAGGGGCCGTCCATAAATGACGTCACGCGATTTTGGACGATTTTTGACCCCCCCCCCCACCACTAGTCACACGGTGTCACAAAAATTCAGACCCCCCCCCTGAAATATGACGTCACAAAGCTCTGCCCCCCCCCCAAATAAAACTTGCTTCAAATCGCTTTAAACTATTGTCATTGTAGTGCGTATTTAATGTGCCGATGCACTCTGATGTGGGAGAAAACATTTATTAAAACGTCTATTTAATTAAGTAGAACGTGTTGTCTACATTTATTTAAAGTTGCGAATTTTGATGTGACGTCACATTTCTCAAACCCCCCCTTCGTCACACATCGTCACAAATGTCTAACCCCCCCCCCCCCCAGGTGCGTGACGTCATTTATGGACGGCCCCTAACGTATATTTGCTCACAAAACATTGATTCCTTTATGTAATCAGATACTAATGTCTCTTTAAGGTCATGCAAGAGCCTGTAACATGTATACCGAAGACATCATGTCTGGTCTCTTAGGGCTCTCTCCCCCGTGAGCCTTGGGCATTAACACTGAACCATGAGAATTAGAATGGTGCCTTAGCCTAGCTCTATATGAGCCATGGGTCATTACATCGATTCCTAATAAGTTGGAGTTGGTAGCACAGTGCCACTAACCACTGCACCACCACTCTCCAAGAAAACTTGTCTGTGTGAGTATACCATGTACGTTCATAGTGGCTTGGAATGTTTCGTATTCTCGCAGCAGGAGCAAGGTATATTCTCTACGTCTTTTTCTACATGTGAAGCTAAAGCAATGGCCCAACACTGCATACAACCACAAATGGTATTTATTCAACGCAAAAATGAATACTCCACATGTATTAAAATGTCACCATGTGTCCTTCACCACGAAGAAAATGCAAGTTAAATGCGAGCTCAAATTACCATTAGCAGTCGATAAATGAGTACCGCGTTGTGGAGCGAAGCCAAACAGCGGTCGTGCTATCGAGACACTAAGCACCGATCATGAGAACGATACATTTCCACCATTGGCTCAGGCCTTCCAAATGAAAACAATAACCTCGTTGAATATCTTCTTGGTTCTTTCGGTAAAGTCACGTAAAAGGGAAGTAATAAAATAATACAAATAAAACATAATAAAATAATTCTCACGACGTGTCTACTTGACGGACCTGTTCTCCACCTGAGGACGGCTGCTTGCGTTGTGGCCGAAACGTCGCGAGAATTATTTTATTATGTTTTATTTTTATTATTTTATTACTTCCCTTCTACGTGACTTTACCGAAAGAACCAAGAAGATGAATCCCTGCAGTCACGAGAGCTTTAAATCGAAACTCGTTGAATATTTGAGCAGGCAGACTCTTTGACTGGACTTGACTCATCATATAAATAATCCCATTTTGAATGACCACAAGGTTCCCACCGATGGTGGTGAGGACGGTGCCAGCAAAGAAGATTGCATCTCCGATGTCCCATATGCTGACTCCGGTGTTGTTGGTGTTGTTGGAGATTGGATTAACGCCAGCTCCCATCACCTCCACCACCGTCTGCGCACAGGTTAAGGCACTTATCAAGATCAGCAATATCAGCAGAGTGGTACATGTTGAATTGACGGCGCTCAAATGCGTAAATATGTATCTCGACATGGAATGTGCCCGATGCCGTTATATCTCTGAAGCTAAGCAGTGTTGAGCCTGGTTAATGCTTGGATGGGGTACCACCATGCATAGAACAGACGTTGGTGGCTGCTGTGTAACTACACTGTGGGCAGCAGAGGGGAATGGAGCAAACTCTATCGTGGTACTGTTCTTCTGTGCTCTCCATGCTCCCCACCTTCACCAACACACGCCCTGACCAGTGCGGTGTATGTGGTCAAATAACCCCCATGACCCGCACAGCATGGAGAAGCCCTCATCCAGCAATGCATGGACAAAGAGTGATACATGTACAGCTGTGGTAGATTGTAACCATGGAAGGCACGGCGTTGAAATTAGTAGCCTTGTATATTATGTCCACGTTTTCAAACAAGTGTCGTGTGGTGCTTATTTTGATTGGCGGCCCTAAGCCAGGGGTGGAAATTCCACATTCCTGTGGCAGACACCATGGAATCACTTTTTAAATCCTTTATATTAAGTTCGCTTGCGTGCTTGCTTGCTTGCTTACGACCGTGCAAATCTTTCGGTCGTTTTTTAACCCACTTCCCGTGATCCAATCGAGCTGACATTTTCCACACAGACTCGTTGTGCGAGACAATTAATGTTCGTGAAAAAAAAATTCCCAAAATTTTACACTATTTAGGGAAAACAAATTAAATATTTAATTACCAATTGCTTAATACTGCCAGACAATCATCTGACCCATAGGTGGCAGCCATCTCAAGCCAGCGGACGAGAGGACTCAAGTCGCCACGCATATAAAGGATTTAGAGTGAAAAACTTTGTTTTTACGGGTTTACTTATTTCATCCCCACAATGTGATACATTACACATTTTACCGACCCCAGACAGATGAATGGCTGAGTCAAATGACCCCTGATCAGTGTTTAACTTGCAACCTTTATACTGTAAAAAGTGTAAGATGAGTGCTCCCATACAGGATTACTTGGCCCAATGCTGCATATTGAAATACATGAGCATTCATGCATTTTTAAGGCCTTAGTTTTCGGTTGCCGCGACGTATAAGGTCAACAACAAAGAATCAGAGTCAAATGAATCATTGAGCGATTGGTGCGCAAGTGGGAGAACGGTGCAGTCCAACACTAGATCTGCAGGTATGTCCGCAGCTACTCGGAGTGAAATTAATATACGACGCAGCTTATGGTGCTGAATCAGAATCTGCATTTTGACCACCGAAGGAATCCCATGAGTTACGAAGCGCTTTTTCACAGATGTCCAGTTAGGGCAGGTCAGACAGTTACAACAATACAAAAAAAACGATAGGAGTGCAAAGTATAGGAAAGGTAAGCAAGTCACAATAAATAAATTCACATAAATAAAGTATATAAGTACAAATCAGCACTCCCAGGTCTAGGTTGCACTCTTTTGGTGATCGGGCTTTTGTTAGCGTGGCACCCAAGCGATGGAACGCCTTGCTAGTTGAAATCAGGTAATCAGAGTAGGTAGATATATTTAAGTCTTTTTAAAAAAACTCATCTCTTTAAAGTGGCCTTCCTTCTTTAGTTTGGTTGGTTACCCTGGTTCTGTTTTTGTTTCCTGCTTTTCATGCATTGCTAATTGGGATCCTCGGATGGAATGCATTTCATACAATTGATTTATTTCGATGAAACTATATTCATTCCTCCCAATTTTTCAACAAATGCAAACTAGGCCAATGCAGTAACACAACAACAACAGTCCCAGACCACAACAAAACAACAACACACAACAAGACAGATGAATGGCTGAGTCAAATGACCCATGACAATATTTCATTTTGCAACTCAATATTTAGATTCCATGGTCCCATAGGCAGCTGTCTGCTCTGACTTCTGCCTAATTGACTTTTCGGACAGTGTCACTCGCGTGGGTCTTTAAAGTTGAAGCAGGCAAAAGTCTCGGTTTGTACGCGTTCCTGTGTGCAAGCTACGTGAAGTTTAACGTCACCTATTAATTGATGATGAAATTCAGAAATTAATATATTTATATATCCATGCATTGCTGGAATTAATTTGTATATTCAAACAAATAATTACATAAGTGCATGGGGAATTCAGTTGTAACGTTAATTCTGTCTTGTTTTTATATGTATGAAAGTAAATGCAATACTCCCTTGGACGGTACTTTCGTTGATAACAAGTCGAGCCCATTGTAGCTGGGTTATGAAAACAAGTAGAGCTATATGAAATAAATGTTTGTAAAGAACACTTGAAAAAATGTATATAACGTTTAATGCGTGGTAGGTAATCACAATGTGTATTCTTAAGCGGATGAAAATGGGACATTTTTCATCTTGCACGCAGGCCTCCAATGTGTGTAGTTTAAACTCTGCCGAACGATAATTTTACGTAAAATGTTTCTTGTGTATGTTTGCATTTTACCTAGAGATTCATATTACAGTATCTTCTTCTTTGTTTTATCTTATATCTTATCTTATTTATTCTTATATATAAATGTAAAAAATTGTGGGGTTGTAGGTTTGTGTGTGGTCGCGCGCTTGGCTCTCCAACAGAGGGGTAAACGTAGGAAAAAAATAGCCAGGCACCACGCCGAAAGCCCCACGGTCAGCAAGCGCTATTCCTTTTTCACATCCGTCAACTTCCAATTAGTTTAATTAGCGATTTACTGCGATTTTCTGTGCGCTTCGTATTTATTTATTTATTTACGACGCGTTCACGACCAAACCAACTCACGCGCCTTTGGTGGGGAGGATGGCCCATGCCAAGTGACACGCGTTCGGTGGGAGTGAGGGTCGCGTTAAAAATCTTGTAAAAAATTAACCCGTAAAAACAAAGTTTTTCACTATAAATCCTTTATATGCGTGGCATCGGTTTTATTTGATTATTCATTTCTGTTTTTCTTGAGTAAGAGTTTCATTTTTATCACATTGGTATTTTAAATTGAATATGAATTTATTTTTTTCCTAAAAAGTGGAAAATTTTGGAAAATAAATTATCACGCACAACGAGTCTGTGTGCAAAATGTCAGCTCGATTGATTCACGAGAAGTGGGTTAAAAAACGACCGAAAGATTTGCACGGTCGTAAGCAAGCAAGCACGCAAGCACGCAAGCAAGCAAGTGAACTTAATATAAAGGATTTAAAAATACACTAAACGCTCAGGTTAATTATTCACTGTCTCATGAACCCCCCACCACGATGCATGCAGTTATTACTACTATACAGTCGATAGATGCTACCACTATAGGCCGTAGATATTACCGCAGAGCGGCTGGGGACATCGTGCCTGGGGGGGGGCAGCAGCCGAGCCCCAGACTGCCAAGGTGCCACCTCGGCCGGCTGGACAATCTAGGCGAGGCCGAAGGCTCTGCACGGGACTAGACCTCACCACGCCACTCTGTCAGGTGAGTACTTTGTGCTATAGAGTCAATAAATACTGATATAGAGTCAGCATGTACTACTGTTGTGATAGCAGGTACCACCACAGTCGGTATGCACTGCTGTAATCATAGCAGGTACCACCACAGTCAGTATGCACTGCTGTAATCATAGCAGGTACCACCACAGTTGGTATGCACTGCTGTAATCATAGCAGGTACCACCACAGTCGGTATGCACTGCTGTAATCATAGCAGGTACCACCACAGTATGCACTGCTGCAGTGAAAGCAGGTACCACCACAGTATGCACTGCTGTAATCATCGCAGTTACCACCACAGTATGCACTGCTGTCATCATAGCAGGTACTACCACAGTCAGTAAGCACTGCTGCTACATTTTTAAGAGTAGTTTTGAAATATTTTTAAGACCCGGGCAACTCCGGGTACTTCCTGCTAGTATATTATATAGATGTTTTGCTGTTACAGAAACCATACATAATATATAATACACAAATAAAACACTTGTCAGTAAAAGTATATGATAGGCGACGTTTTGGACAAATAATGAGGTCTGTAGAGATACCAGTGGACATTGCAGCAAAATCATTTGTAGTATTGTCATAATAATTGACATTTTTAAAGTGGTGCATTTCATCCGTAGATCCTAATGCGCCACCGTGTATGGAAAGCAGGAAACAAACAGAACGAGGGTAAACGGCCAGAACTAAGGGGTAAAGGCTACTTTAAACAGGTGACTTTTCAAGGCAGACTTAACGCTATCTAACCAAGGCAAAGCGTTGTCCAAAGCTTGGGGAGCTGCACTGGAAATAAGTATAACCCGTAAAAACAAAGTTTTTCACTATAAATCCTTTATATGCGTGGCGGCTAGAGTCCTCTTGTCCTCTGGCTTGAGATGGCTGCCACCTATGGGTCAGATGATTGCATTGCACCATTAAGCAATTGGTAATTGAATATAATATTTTGTCCTAAAAAGTGTAAAATTTTGGAAAACATTTTTCACGAACATTAATTGTCACGCACAACGAGTCTGTGTGGAAAATGTCAGCTCGATTGGATCACGGGAAGTGGGTTAAAAAACGACCGAAAGATTTGCACGGTCCTAAGCAAGCAAGCAAGCACGCAAGCACGCAAGCAAGCAAGCAAGCGAACTTAATATAAAGGATTTAAAAAGTGCGATCACCCCAAGAAATGAGCTTTGATTTCAACCTCATTTTGAGTATAAAGATGGATGAGTTCCTGTAAATGTTGTACTTATTTGCTGCTGCATCTATGATCCTTGCCTTTACTGACCCACACTGACTAGCATGGTGAATCATGGTCAAACTACCCCCGCCATGTGGATAGATCTTTATTCAGCAGTGGGATTCACGTGAGGAATCTACTCGTAACAGACAGCGTCTTAAATATGTCTTCATAGGCAAGGTTGTATGGTGGGGTGCTGTCAGTTCAATGACGCATTCCAAACGTGTTAATATTTGGATTGTCTAAATTTCTTAAATTTTGATTTTAGCAGGTAAGGCCAACTGGGCAAAACAGCTGTTTTTCATAAGCGACCTGGCCATCCCATATGATAGCTCAACGAAGTGGCTGATCATAATGTGGAAGTTTAATAGCAGCCAGATACTCTAAACGCGTGTTTCTAAATGTGGAGGGAAAAACCGGAGGACTCGGCGAAAAATCCACGCGACCATGGGGAGAACATGCAAACTCCAAATATACAGCAGGCGTTAGGGATGGAACCCACGACTTCCTGTATACCAGGCGAGGTAGTTAACATCTCACCACCTTTGGCGCATCTGACTGAACTACACACAATACAGGTACAGTAGAATGTACTCGTCTGTACAGTACATTATACTTACTGATGTTATAATAAATGTTTCTTATTTATGAAATATTTACTTGCCGTATTAATATTTGCGATGTTACCGACACTACAATGAAGCCCTCATACATTGCTCGTAAGATAGAAACACCGTTGTCTGGAATGCATCACCATAAACAGTGCTGCATATACAATGGTATAATGACCCATTTTTTGCGCTGATTCGATTAGCGCTCACTTCTCAGGAGAAACGCATCTTGAGTGCTAAGCGAGGTCTGCCTGTATTGCAAACGATCAAAGTAATGCGCTCTACTGTATGTGTATAGGTGGCATGGATGTGTGGGTGGCATGGATGCGCGTGTCTGCATACACAATTACCTTCAGCAGATTCTGCATGTCTTCAGGCTTCACGCATTTGTGCTTATCCAGGAAAGACTCCTTGGTGATGACCAGGTGGTTTCGCTGCTGCATTTCGTAGGGCCTCTCCAGCGCTCGGAAGACCAACGCTCCTCCGAGCAGGTATAGCAACACAACGCCCAGCAGGGTCAACACTGCCTGCCACTTCATCGCTGGCAGCTTTTGTTTATTGCTGGCTATGCCCACATCGGCATGCGTCGGTGATCCAGTCGTTGTGCCTGCCTGCACTATTATAAGTCGTACACTCCGGTCTTGTTCGATGAGTTTTTTTTTTTTACAGGATTGGAAAAAGTATTGATTCAAACCATAAACACAAATTTAATTCCTCTGCAATGCCAGTCTTGCGGTTGTACCGAAAGCAGCGGGAAATTGTCTACGGGTCTCGATGAAGACAGCAAATTTTCAGTCGGAGAATTGGATTTGTCGTTTTGGCTCTGGATTTATTGAATGACCATTTTACCAAATCTCGCAGCTGTTACAAGAAACCCACACTTGGGTTAATCATGCGACTCATCGCCCATGATGTGTAATGCAATTTGTTTCGAATCATTGCCTCTCCTAATATATTGATCAATATATTCTGCGCTACAGTGGTTAATGTAAATTGTAAAAGATAAAAATTAGTTTGAAGCCCACAATAAAAAGCTGATGTTGATATTTCGGCCGCAGGCAAACATTTATACGTACAATACAATTTATGTAGCGTTTAAATGCAACCGTATCCCCAGATGATTGGCAGGATATATCTAGTCTTCAACATCATATTTTTAAGGATCTCATTTAATATATTCCACGTAAAATTGGCAACAGAAAAAAATACAGTACTGTAAATAACAACACTAGCGCACTTATATCTCTCTGAAACTGTTCGACATCGTTATCTCCCGTCGTCACCTACGTTACGGTATGTTACTGTCAATAACTAATATCTGCTATTTTAATGTCATTCTTCACCGTTGCGTGAGCCAACGTTGGCTGGCCAATGATTGCTGCCACGTGTTGACTTATCTTGCGTACGCGGATACTTCTTCACGCTTTTGCTACCGTTCAACCTTACAGCCATCCGTGCACGAGTCCTCTCACCTATCTTAGCCGAGTGCCTTGCGACTAAATACACGCCAGACTGTGAGCTGCCTATATATACCACAACGCGCACTCACAACAATCGGGTTGGGCCCATTTGTTGAATGTCCCCCAGGGGTGCTGCTGGCTGCTACTTCGACCGCTACTACATCCTATTCAATTTACACGAGAGATGGTAATGTTCATGATGAGACTTCCCCAAAAGCTCGCTGCAATGCGATCTGAAACTTGAGAAGCAACACTTCAAGATGACTAACAAGTAGCCTGTTGTGTATTACACTCGCTGGTGAAATGTTGCTGTTGTTGATTTCGTTTAAGTGCCCCCGATGAAATCTGGCGGGAGCCCTGTTGTAGGCAGACACGCGCTTGTCCAGATGGAGGCTGTCAGCTTCACTGCAAAGTGTATATGACTCTTGAGAGAAGGGGAATTGATTTTATTCTTGTATTATTTATTAATTCTTACTATACTATAATTGCTACGATTCCATGAAACATTCGAAACCCTAATGGAGCCTCTTATCCGTGCATTAAGCGTGCATATACCGGAGCTATTAATGATTTGTGATCATGCATATTTTAAAGGCTCCTTTTCGTCTTGGGTCGCCTTTCTGCTACAAGGGGCTTAATCGATGTCTGAGCTATAGTGCACCTATGCCGCATTACATACACCGCCATGTACTCTGGTAAACAGTGCATAATTCAACTTTATAATTAGGATTAAGGTCTATGATTAACAATGCAGAAGCCGTATGACTGCATTATTCCTGATCTCTGCGGGTAAGGGATACACACACTGAGTGTTTAATTTGCACTCCATGTCTTATTACAGTACATGGAAGAATCTTGATTTTAAGCTTTCGTGACTGCAGGAATCCATACTCTTTGGTTCTTTCGGTAAACTCACGTAGGTATAAAAAATTATAGATCTATAAATTTTTTTAAATTATAGATCTATAATTTTTTTACCTACGTGACTTTACGTAGGTATAAAAAAGAATATATCTATTATTTTTTCTACCTACGTGACTTTACCAAAAGAATCATAGAGTATAGTAAATGGAAGGTCAAAACCAAGTATTTTCCCAGCGATTATCACAACATAAAAAATGGTGCACATGCGTGGATTCTGGTATGTTTTCCAATAATTGCGTTTTGTCCTTAGAAGTATTTCCAACATTGCGTTTTGTCCTTAGAAGTATTCGCGACGATAGGCGCCCACGTCAGCTGTGCAGGCAGCGGTAGGGCCGTCAGCCGCAACTAGGACAACGGTGCTCAGGATAGCGACTGCCCAGGGTGGTGCACCTCGCGCCGGCAGGGCTGGATCTCTGAGAACGACTGTTTAGCACCGTGAGAACAATTGTTTAAGGGTTCTTTGCAAATTTAACTATCTCCGAAGACAACTCTTTTAGTATTGGACCGTGTCTCCTAAATTTTAGGCAACCTTTTCGATACATTTAGCCTTTTTTCGATACGGTAAGTCCATCATACTCATACAACATTTTGACAAAATTTTCGTTGACATTCGACTTTATTTTTCACGAGTTATCATTTGCAGGGCCGTGATGACACAACCGGCCTCGGATAGGGGCTCTAGTGGGGAGGGTGGGGGGCCTTGGTCGGTTGAGACAGGTCACCATGCGGCAATCCTTTTGCGGCTGGTGATTGTTTTCAAATGTTTGGGCCACCCTATGATAACATTTGGCTGGTATTCTATGTGATGCATCCCGACGAGGAGCACAACGTTTCAGTAAAGTTGGATCATGTTTTTCTCATATGTCACGTGCCTTCAACCGTTACAGATAGACCTGCGGACGGAGCTAATGCTTAAAGGCACTCAGCCTTAAATGGAAATTCTCAACAAAAAATCCCAGTGTTTTGGGTAACTCAGGCAAGAAAACTGCTTGCGGGAACTTCAATATTGATGACAACCTGAGAGAGCTTAAAAATAAACAAAGCGTGAATTAAATATGAATGGGATGCGCAAGGTACATTAATGGCATATTGCTCTTCATGCATGACCTATGAGGCATCATGTACTATATTTACGTAGGAACCACGGGCAGTATTGGTTGTGTCTTTCATGCTTTCTTGCACTCTCTCCTGCTGCAGACATTGGGACATGTCTCATTTACTGCAGGGCTTCCTGTCAACATTAGTTATTGTGTCGGCAGACTTGGTAAAGTAATCCATATAATATGCTGCAGGTGTGGTTAAACGAGACAATTTTAGAGCTCCCTGCAATCAATTTCAATTAGATCACATATTTGGCAACACCTCGTGTTAGGAACGTGTAAGTGGTCAATGTGCAATGTTGCTTGTCGTAAACTGAATAGGTTACAACTTAAAATCACCAGTTTAGTGTTCTACTTTCTCAGCAGCGTGGTGTTACCAGCCATTACATATTCTAACTGCAACCACATCGCAATACGTTGTACATAAACCTACGGGCATATTTATTTTATAGAAAGAGGCAGTTAGTCATAGGCAGATGGAAACAAAAATTACGTCTTGAGCCTGGACTTGAATAAAGGCAGGGATAGTGGGTTCCAGACTATGAAGGCAGCAGAGGAGAATGACAGACATACCACTGAGAATGTCGACTGGAGGCTTTTGACAGAAATCCGTGGTTACTGGAGCGTAGAGTGGATGGAGTGGAATCGGGAGAGGTGAGAGACTGCTTGTAGGGGGAGTAGAGTGAGTTGAGAGGGGAGATGTTGGTAGGGGCGAGTCCACGGATTTTAAGAATTTAAGTCATTTTTAAATTGATCCGAGATAATATCGAGAACCAGTGGAACAACGGCAATATTGGGATGGTGTGATCAAGTTTACAGGCATGGATGAGGAGTCTCGCAGTAAAATGTACAAAAAAACAGGGCAAGTCACCCCCACTCCTCAAAAAACCAGGCCTCAATCCCGACGATCCGGCAAGCTATTGATTCATTACCGATCTCTCCACCGTCACCAAACTTCCTCTGTCCAGTCCACCTTCTGCCAGACCTACTCCAGTGAGGCTGCACTGACAAAGGCCCTCGATGGCAGTCTTTGCATTGTGGACTCCGGTTCAGTCGTCGTACTCGTTGGCCTGGACATCTCTGTGGGCATCGTCAAACACCCTCTCCTCATTAGCCTCTTGGAATCTGACATCAGTGTCGGTGGCACAGTTCTACAATGGATTATGTCCCACTCAGAAAGACGTTTCTTAGGGTGGGGGAGTATTCATCTGCGGAAATCGCATGCAGTCCCTCAGAGGTTTTGTCCTCAGCCCCCTGCTGTTTGTGGCATTCACGACTCCTCTTAGCCACCTGTTTGAGAGCTTTGGTGTCAAACACCATTCCTACGCTTATGAAACCGTCCTCTTTACCTCTGTCAATTCCATTTACACCTCTCAACGTGAAAAAACAGACGATATAGACGTGCTCTTTTGATCGACTGCGTTCATTTCCGTATTTATTGATATGACTACTTTAATATTGAAACTGTAGTCACATTGTTTATACGAATTGTGATCTCAACAAATGTATCCGCTGCTGGATGAAGGCCTCCTCACTTTGGCGAGTGCAAATGGTGGCGTGGGAAGCTCAAGGTCAGTTCAGATAGCACTCCTTACTGATGTTCGCTGTGGCTAGGAATCAAACTTAAATAACCAGGTTCATTGTGCACTTTAAGTTAAAGGTTTTTTCACCAGGTAAGACCTCAATTGCAAGTGACCAGTGCGCTGATCACAGCATCACAACTCCCCACGCACTTATTACTGCACTGTAATGTGGTATAACGTATTTAATTGAGGGTAGGGTCATTATACGCTTGGAAGAGCCCTTTTAATATGTTTGAAATAAAGTCCAGTATTGCATTTAAAATATTTTAAACTATTATCAGTTTACTAATTCTTCAATCATTAATAGGGGTTCAATCTTGATTTGAAGCTTTCGTGACTGCGGGAATCCATACTCTTTGGTTCTTTCGGTAAAAAACACGTAGGTATAAAAAAAATCACGACGTTTCGGGCGCAACACAAGCGTCCATCATCAGGTGGGAAAGCTTCTTGCTTGTGTTGCGCCCGAAACGTCGTGATTTATTTTATTTTATACCTACGTGACTTTATCGAAAGAACCAAAGAGTATTATTAGGGGTGTAATGATGCATTCTCAATTCAGGGTTACGCTTCTATTCAACAATATATTCTTTGGGATATTTTTTTGCATATATTATCAGAGCATGTTTGTTTGCATGTTCACAAGTACGTGTGGTTAATGCAGACATGATTCCTTGCATAAAATTGTATTTAGTGTTTTATTGCCAATAGATTACACTATGTAACACAATTTTTGTTCCTGGGTACTAAGTGTTATTTTTTAATTGCTTATGCCTAAAAAGTATAGAAAATCGCTATTATTCCCCACGAACTTTGCATTTATGACCAGGATTTTACGTGAACGAAAGACACAAATGCACACGTTTTCTCATTGAAAATATATACATTTCAAAATATCACTGTCCTGGTCACAAAAGCAAAGTTTGTGGGGAATAATAGCCATTAATTCTAGATGAGAAGTTTTCTTGACTGCAAGGATTCATACTCTGGTTTTTTCGGTAAAGTCACGTAGGTAAAGAATACCCCCCTGCAGCATAACAAAGGATGGCTTAACTTAGCTTTCTTATCTACTTCCGCCCCTGCATCACAAAGCTTCAGTTTGAACTCCGTGAGCTCCATGCGTTACCTCCCAGCCCACACCCCGCCCCCACACTCACCATGCCCCCCCCTCCTTCCCCACAACTATATAATGCCTCGTCACAGCCATCTCTTAGACACACTTAAGCGGTTGTACTTTCGCTGTGTTGTCCACACCTGAAGACGGACGCTTGTGTTGCGCCCGAAACGTCGTGATTTAATTTAGTTGTTTTCATTTATTTTTTACCTACGTGACTTTACCGAAAAAACTAAAGAATAATAGGCATTTTCTGTACTTTTGAGGTATAATCAATTAGGAAATAACACTTACTACCCAGGAACAAAATGTTTTGTTTGTTACACAGTGTTATTTGTTTTACTTGTGATATATGTAGCGGCTCTAGTGGCTGGAAGTGGATCACGTGAATCAACTAGTCTATATCCGTCATCTATCAACAAACACGAATCAAAACATGGAATTGTCCACGTGAAATGATATCCGATAATTTACACTCACCGATTCAACACGTTCGTCAACAACGCTGTGGCTTAAAAAAGGGAAATATATAATCGGCGACGTTTCGGTAAATGGCCCTTCATAATAGCACATGAAGGGCAATTTTACGTTTACTTTTCAGGCGGTGTTTTTGACGAATTTTTTTGGAACTTTTTTTGGTTCATGTTTGTTGCTTGTCCACCACTGCCAACTCTGTATTATAAACAAAGGTTTGGTGTTCTGTGCCTAACGTTGTAGCTGTGTTATAAGATGGGTAGGTGACGTGGATTTTCACGCAATTTTAAATATTTTAGTTTGTTTCATGAAAGGCTTCTTAAAATGTAACTAATTATAAATTTGTTACAAGAATGATCGATTTTCTTCCAAAAAAATACGTATAGTCTTGGTGATCTGTGCCTAACGCCTGACACTGCACGCTGTGTGAAATGCTGAGGAGGCCACGTGGGTCCGACTGACGTCACAAATAATTATTATCCAGTATAGAATTTCTGCACCAAACTGCGAACACCATCTGGAATGCCATCTCATAAATTGTTATGTAGAGAAAAAAAAGGAACCATTGTGATGCCAATTCGAAATCTCAACCCCCCAAAAAAGGATTATGCAATGGCACACGCTCTGGTGATTCGTAAAATGCAACTTTGTTGTGGCTGAAATCATTTCAGAATCCAATTGTGGAGACGTCCTCATTCCCATCAATTGATATGGCACCGTCTGATGTGAATTTGCCATTTATTTTGAAGCGAAGACAGTTTCCAATCATTTTTAAATTTTCTATCACTGTCAATAAGTCACAAGGACAAACTTTTGAATATGTTGGACTTTATCTTAAAGAACCTGTGTTTTTTTCTCCATGGACAACCTTATGTTGCTTTGTCAAGATGTAAAAATCCAACCAACATCAAAGTGCCGATTCAACAAAATTCATCTGCTGGAAAGCTTTTTGGGAGATGATTGTTAATTTACATTAAATGTGATATGTAGATAAAAAAATAAACGAAATTAATTCAATCCAATCTTAAAATGTTATCATTTTTCATTCAATAAATTTTCTATGAACCCATCATATGACGGGCAATTACACTAGTTACCAAATAATGTATATATTAATCGATTAATTGTTTTCCATCCCACCCCGGTCAAGTGACACTTCGCTGTTTGGATTTATTCCGTAACGCGATTATTTTTGCTTCGATTTCTATTAGCTTGCTTTGTGGAGTCTAATTTCTTTTTGCTTCATTGTTCCCACTTGTTTTTAATGTCAGTTGCATTGTCATTTTAGGTGACCCGGGTCACTCTAGGCCAATGAAACTCATCATTGTCTCTCGAGTTCCCCATCTGAACGTAGACACCAAACTAAACATTTCAGTAAAGCGGTAGATTGTTCACTGGGAGAGAGGGAAGAGGAGAGGGGGAGTGGAGAGAGTCCCCCTCCACCGGAGCTCTCCGTCGTGCCACTGCGTCGCCAACGCCGACAAGCGAAGGCGGATCACAACCTGTGCCGGCTGGAGGACCTACCAGAGGTGGCCTTCGCAAATGTCAAGAGGAAGGTGCTCTACTCCTACATGGTCCGGTTTCACCAACAGGACACCCTGAGGAGCCATAAGGACCATGCCTGGAGGAAAGCCCTGCCCTGCATCTCTCCGGAGAGGCCTCGCTGGAGGCAACTCTACTCCAGCCCGACGTACAACCGCATCGGCGACCTCAGCTGGAGCATCGCCCACGGCACCGTCACCACCAACGCCTCCCTGGCGCGCTTCACCGACACGCCCCCGGAGTGCCGGTTCTGCGGAAAAGTGGAGACGGTGGCGCACCAATACGTGGAGTGCAAGAGCCTGGACTCGCTGTTCAAGGTCCTGAGAAACATCCTCCTAAAGTTCAGCCTCCACTTCTCCCCGACGGTCCTCATTTTTGGATACCGAAAGGGCGACGGACCCCAACATCTCCAGGGGCTGGTCAACGTGCTCGTCGGCTACGCCAAGCTCGCCATATACAGGGCGAGGAAGGTGGCCCTGGAGGGGAAACGTCCGGCCAGCAGCCTGGGCATCTTCCGCGCTCTGGTCGGAGCCAGGGTGTGGCTGGAGTTCCGCCATGCGCGGCTGACCCACGCCGTGCCGGCCTTCAAGGAGCAGTGGGCGATGGAGGAGGCCGTGTGCTCCGTGGCAGATGATGGGGAGCTCTGCATGCTGTTATGAGCTACCCGTCGGAGGCCGTCGGACTGCGAGGGGGGCGGCGTAAATAACGAGAGAGTGAGCGAGAGAATGAGCGAGAGAGAGAGCGAGTGAGAGAGAGCGAGAGAGCGAGCAAGCGAGAGAGTGAGCGAGAGAGCGAGCGAGAGAGCGAGCGAGCGAGGGCTACATAAAGCCCTGTTTTAAAAAAAAAAAAGAAAAAAAAATTACGAAATGATGAACGAAACAAAGTGCCGAATACACCGAGCATCTTCTTGTTTCTACTGATCGTAAAAAAAAAAAAAGAGACGGATAGAGGGGGTAGAGAGAGGGGGTAGAGAGAGAGGAAAGGGGTAAGAAGGAGGAAAGCAGAGCGTGAAATATTTCGTGAAATCTTTCATTTAAACGGGGGGGGGGGGGCACATAAAGCAAAGCATTGAAAAAAAAACCAAAAAACCGAAATGATGAACGAAGCAAAGTGCCGAATACACCGATCATCTTCTTGTTTCCTCTGATCGTAAAAAAAGAGAAGGATGGGAAGGAAAGAGAATGATGGGGAGAGTGAAGGATGGGGAGGAGAGTGGGAGGGAAGAGAGAAGAAAGGGGAGGAGAGAGGGAGGGGAGGGAGGAGGATGATGGGGAGGAGAGAGGGAGGGAAGAGAGAAGAAAGGGGAGGAGAGAGGGAGGGGAGGGAGGAGGATGATGGGGAGGAGAGAGGGAGGGAAGAGAGAAGCAAGGGGAGGAGAGAGGGAGGGGAGAGAGGAGGATGATGGGGAGGAGAGAGGGAGGGAAGAGAGAAGAAAGGGGAGGAGAGAGGGAGGGGAGGGAGGAGGATGATGGGGAGGAGAGTGGGAGGGAAGAGAGAAGAAAGGGGAGGAGAGAGGGAGGGGAGGGAGGAGGATGATGGGGAGGAGAGAGGGAGGGGAGGGAGGAGGAGGATGATGGGGAGGAGAGATCTAAATGCACAGCCCTCTCAACTCTCTACTATAGCAACGCGAGCAACAGTGTGGGGGCACAGTGCTGGAGATAGACAACAGCAGCAGCAGATACAACACCAGCAGGGCAAGGAGACGTCACGAATAGCTGCTGGCTGTAGTTGATCGCTGGATTTACGTTGTAGCTGAGCGCAGACAAGGTTTGATAACAACATTGCGGTTGAGTGCTGATGAGATAGTATTCCACACATTATGGTTGTGCTTTGGTACATTGTATTGTAGCTACAACTGGATATGTACATTGTATCGTAGCTGCAATTGGATACATGCCAGCTAGATTTGGATACATGCCATTGTAACTGTAGTGTGAGACATTCCAGTTTAGTTCTGGCTGGCTAAATCGTTTTGTAGATACACAGTGCAGCCCGTTGTATTGCTACAATATGATACATTGTAGACTATTGTTGATATTAATTCAGGTTATATTAAATGTATAGTAGTGGGGTGCTGTAATTGGATAGATTGTACATCCAGTCGGATACACGATAATTGAGCTGCATTTTGATACGTCTACGCTACATCATACACAGTTGTTATTTTCTGCGTCGTATTTACAATTTTGAAACATTGTTTTGTAGCTGAATTTGGATAGTCACTGTGTCTGTCGTGATTCTTACTGCATGTCTTCAGATTTTTTTTTTATTATTAAGATACAATGTTCGGTCACATACTAATATAACGGTGAGTGTCTCCAATTGCTGGTGTGGTTATTGTGTTGTAGTTCCAATTGGAGTTCCCAGCTGGAAACGTCTTAACTGAGCGTGCCAATTCCACTGCATTAATTTGGCACGGTCTAATTAGCCCCATTGTACAGGGCGGTCCAGATGTCTTGTGACCCCCCTCCCATTTAATTATCTAAAAACTAAAAAAAATATTTTTAAATGAAGTCAGGTTGATTTCAAACAAACGAATGTTGCAAAGGAGGAAAAAATGTAGGGGTCAATTGGGGGGCGTGGGGGGGGAAGGTCACAAGACATCTGGACCACCCTCTACACCAGAGCAGTCAGCATTTCGCTGGGATTCTCATGAATTTGCATCTCCCAATTAAACACGTGATTAGTTGCGTCAACGTCGAACATTACAACGGAACACGTAAACTTCGTAATTGACACGAACTATTTCGCCTTCAGATGCGCCCCCAACCATTAGGGTTATAGTTCGTGGCGAAGGGGACACAGCACTTTGTTATCCCGTTAGAAGTCAAGTTGTGGGTGCAGTGGTTTTACACGCCGGCTATTGTAGCTGTAACAGTGCAGCTGCACTTGCCACGTGCTGTTGTAGCTGTAAATTTGAAACAATTTAAGCTTTAGAGAATTGAATGGGGATGGGGGGTCACGAGACATCTGGACCACAGTGTATAACATTTCTTGATTTGAAGCTTTCGTGACTGCAAGGATTCATACTCTTAGTTATTTCGGTAAGTCACGTAGGTAAAAATGAAATTTAAAAAAAAAATCAATACGTCGTGATTTTATTGTTTTTACTTTTTATTAATTTTAATTTCATTTTTACCTACGTGACTTTACCGAAAGAACTAAGAGTACAGTGTATAACAGTCCACAAGTGCAATTGCAGCTGTGTAGAACGACTGTTATACAGCGTGGTCCAGATGTCTCGTGACCCCCCCCCCCCTATTTAATTTTCGAAAGCTTGATATATTTTGTAAAGTGAGCTTCATTTAAAACAGAACTGAATATGTAAACGACCCCCCCCAAAAAAACATGTTGGGGGTCAATTAATTGTGGTAGTCACAGGACATCTGGACCAGCCTGTTGTACAGTGTTACTCCAATCTCCCCATCATCCCCCACCCTCTCCCCCTACCCCCCCACTCTCCCCCTACCACCCCACCCTCTCCCCCTACCCCTCTCCCCCACCCCCTCTCCCCCACCCCTCTCCCCACCCCCCTCCCCCACCCCCCACTCTCCCCCCCACCCCCTCTCCCCACCCCCCCCTCCCCCCTCCCCCCACTGTGTGTGGATGCGTCGCAGCTCCGCACGTGGAGCCGGGATAGTGGAGATGAGAGCCTCGGGATGACGTCCAGCAGAAGCGCAGGTGATGCACGCCACACGCACCCGTGGTGCCACACACACCCGTGGTGCCACACACACCCGTGGTGCCACACACACCCGTGGTGCCACACACACCCGTGGTGCCACACACACCCGTGGTGCCACACACACCCGTGGTGCCACACACACCCGTGGTGCCACACACACCCGTGGTGCCACACACACCCGTGGTGCCACACACACACACAGACCCCCCCCCACACACACACAGACCCCCCCCCCACACACACAGACCCCCCCACACACACACACACAGACCCCCCCACACACACACACACACAGACCCCCCCCACACACACACAGACCCCCCCACACACACAGACCCCCCACCCCACACACACACAGACCCCCCCCCCCCCCACACACACGTGTAGACTTGACAGACTGTAGGGGCAAGTGCTGTTAGGGGGGTGGGTGGATCAGCACCACGCCCGACCGCCTTTGTCTCCCTAGTGGCGATGCTTGCAATGCTTACGCACCGCACCGGGTACACTGGAGTTGTCACCAGTGACAATTATTTGAACCGGTCCTGGGCCTCCCTCCTAGGTCGACTCGGCCTCAATTGAGTACCTGGTGTAGCGGCGCGTAGCAAACATCGCCACTGGGGAGACAAAGGCGGTCGGGCGTGGGAGCTGGGGCCACCCACCCACATCGTGTGCCGGGCCTTCATAGGGTGCCGTTCGCTAACAGCACTTGCCCCTACAGTATGTGAAGGCTACACGGGGGGGATCTTTGTCTTTATGTACAGTACACACGCGGACACAAACGCCGGTGACGAGCATCTGAAACCGGTGCTGGGCTTCCCCTAGGTGGACTCGGCCTCGATAAGACTCGGCCTGGTGCGCGGTGTGTAGCAAACATCGCCGCCGGGGGAGACAAAGGCGGTCGGGCGTGGTTTTGCTGGCCACCCACCCCCCCCATCGTGTGCTACGGTGGCGGCCTTCATAGGTGCTGCTCGCTAACAGCACTTGCCCCTACAGCCTGTGAAGGCTACACGTGTGTGGGGGGGGGTCTTTGTCTTTGTAAACGCATTGGTATCGCGTCTGTAGAGTGGCCACGCTTATCCTGTTCGATCCGACACGTGTGTTACTGCTTACAGAGAGAGAGATGCATGCTGTACTGTCAAACTTGCACACTTATAAAGCGACACCTACGCATGCTATACACACAGTACTGTCTGTATTATTGTACTGTACTGCATAGCTAACAGATGCAGGTCCACGTGTGGTGTATGTTGATATACCATTGCTGCCTAGCTACTGCCGTACGTGCACGCTGGCAATTCACACCGTCATGTTCAGTAACAATTACCACGAGTAAATTAGTAGTATTTACCGTACTGTCTACAGCAGCGGTCGGGAACCTATGGCTCGCGAGCCATATATGGCTCTTTCGGTGACGGCATATGGCTCCCAGACAATTTTGAGTTGAAAAAAATAAAATAAAAAATCAGTTTGGAACTGATTTTAAAATACTTGTGATATTGCTTAATAATACTGTGTCATTTTTAAGTAAACAGAAATTAGTTTTGAAGATACATTTCACGGGTCACGCCTGCATGAAGCTCAACCTCACCACGTATGAACCAGAATACAAGGCCATCAGCAAAACCACGCGGCACTAGAAGTCGCATTAAAAGTAAGACATATTTAATTTATTATACGTTAAAAATACTATATGGCTCTCAATGCAATATATTTAGAAATATTTGGCTTTTATGGCTCTCCCAGTCAAAAAGGTTCCCGACCCCTGGTCTACAGGGTAAATGCACGCGTGCGTTCGTATCGTCGTCACAATGGGCTATCGCCCACGTGACACGCATCGGGTGAGGGTCTGGTGAGTGGTGAATGGCCCACGAGTGTTTAGACGAGTTCCGTGTGAATGTTTTAAGTCTGTGTCCCTATTTAAGTGCGGTACCAGTTAGGCCTCGGCAAGGTAAGGTAAAAGTTAAAAGGTAAATACAACGAGCCTACCTTTACCCTACCTTTTACCCTTACCACATACAAATGACCCGATTACAGGGTAATTACTAGGGAACTACTACACATGAAACAGGTTTATAATGATAAATGCTGGGTAGAGCGCTTTAGTCATATAGAATACTCTCGATGATTCCAATTTTACACGCTTTCTTTGAACTCACTCTGTCTGTTGTTGTTGTCGTTGTCGTTATTGTTGTTGTTATATCCTCAAATCTTGAAACTTAATTTTAACCCACTTCCTAATGTGGTATCGACTGCAAACTTGGTATACTTAGGTCATACTGATGACAATACTATATTCTATCATAAAAAAATTATATGTTTTTAAACCATCTTTTTTACATGTTATGTTTCGGCTTGGGTCTTATTGTCCACGCTCAACCGACGTTGCCTGTAATTGGCCACGGTCCCCTTACCCTGTGGCAAGCTTCGGGGCCACTTCCTGGAGTCGTGGAGTTCTGCCATTACTAGTACATTTCATAAAGCGTGTTTTTAATAAAGTTTGTTTTAATATTACTTATTAAATGTAGGCCACGGACTGCGCCACGGAGCTTTTAGCGGTAAACAAGGTACCGTATTTACCGGGTAATACTTCGCGCTACCTTTACCCTACCGGGTAATTCTTCTGAGCTACCTTTACCCTACCCTTTACCTTACCAATTGGCATGTCGACACCTTTACACTTTTACCCGGTAAAAAGGGTAAATTACCTTACCTTGCTGAGGCCTAGTACCAGTGTTGTGTGTCTGAAGCCAAAGCAAGTCACCCACGTGCGTCGTAGAGGGGGCGGTCCAGATGTCTTGTGACTCCCACCCCCCGCCCTGCCCAATTAATTTACTCCTAAAATGTTTTTAACCTTTGTATAAATTGGGGTAACGAGACATCTGGACCACCCTGGACACTGTTGACATTAAGTACTCTCCACTGTATAGATTTTCCAGTGCATTATTGAGACATTATCAATGAGTAATGTATTATTGTTGAGTTGGGCTCGTCAACTGCTGCCAACGCTGGTTCCTTATGTCTAAATTTGCCTACAGATCCGTGTTTCTTTAGAATCGTTGTTGGTGTTTAGTTTGTTGTCCTTCCCCCGTGCCTCCGATTTAGCACGGTTGGGCTACGTACGGTGCGAAAGAAGTTCAACAGTGCATACACACACGACTGTTGTACTACCTACAGAATATTGTTTCCTGTAGTGATATAGTACGACAATGCATACATGGTCTTATTAATTACTGCTTCGGGTAGCTCAAATTATATGTGGGCATCGAGGTGTAGAGTCATCCAGTAAACGTGCCAACAACGTTGGTATGGTGGTGGAACCGTGGGACCAAAGTTAGGCCCCAACGTTTCACATTTACCGAGTGCATTAGTTTTAACACGATTTTATTAGTACATGCTTTTATATAGCTCAACTCTGTCTGTTGTTGTATCCTCACATCTTGTAACTCAATTTTTACCCACTTCTCAATGTGACTGCAAACTTGGTATACTTATGTCATACTGTTGACAATACTTATATTATATCATAAAAAAAAAAACATATTTAAAACATTATTTTTTACATGTTATGTTTCGGCTTGGGTCTAATTGTCCACGGTAAACTGACGTTGGCTGTAGATCACCACGGTCCCTTACGTTATGGCAAGTTTCAGGGCCACTTCCTGGAGTCGTGGAGTTCTTCCATTACTAGTACGGTACATTTCATTAAAGCGTGTTTAAAAAAGTTTTTTTTAATAATACTTATTTTATTTTGTGTTTTTCGTTCAGAAAATTTCGCCCGAGTCTCAATGCACCTGAGAGGCACACGATAGGATAACTTTAAACAAATGTCTAAACAGATGAATTCCTAAACCTATTTGCTCTCCTGCCATCCTATTTCCTGAATTGTTATGAAGATGTAGTATGCCTTGCCTGCCCTTGCTTCATACATGCACCACTATCAAACGATTTAGCTTTTTACATTGACCCTGGATCAAAACCTTGATTTAAGTATGGGTTTCAGCCACCCACCCATGATTAACATCATATTGTTAAGTGTAGCGAGTTAATGGTAGTTACAGCCGAGTCACCAATGACCACAAATATATTTGTGTTTTCACTTAATTTGACTTATGAGCAATACATATTTCAGCTTAATTGCCATGTGATGGGCACTAACAGGACATACAAATGTTTGCCCCTTAGTCTGCACGATAGGCCTAATGAAATTGTTTCTAATTTGATGACACTGAGTCACCTCTACGGATGACGTCCGTGGATAGCACTACAGTGTGTTTTAATGTGTGGGTGGTCACAGGTTTTATGTGGCCCTCGTAAGAAAATTGTTCCCCAGCCTTGTGTTAATGTATAACTTAGAGTGTGTATCGGTTATGGGTAACTAAGGCAGTGCCGCTGATAAAATTGTAATGCTGCAATACATATTTTGATGGTTTATATCACTGTACTGGTCCGAGGTTTTTTTACTTTAATTACATGTACAGCATTTTAATCTTGATTTTATTTATGCAGGCTGTCACAAATTCTGAGCCTTTGCCAGGAATCAAACTCAGGTCACTGGGTATCGTAGCCCAGTGCGCTAATCATCACTGCACCACTGCTGCATCTGACCTACTATCGATACTCTATTGTAATTGGCAACATTTCAGCCTGAAGCTTGTAATCTCTGAAAGTACGATAGGTATAGGACAGGGATGGCTGTGTATTTTTAGACCAAGGCCGACTAATTGTGATCCTGTATAAGCTCTAGGTCTGAGCTTCTATTGCATTCAGAGCTGCATTGCAATTGGTTCAAGCCTCAGACCAGCTCACTTTTAAACTTCACACTGGAACCTGTGCTCACATTATTTCGATGCAAACCATGACCACAGACAGGCCTCTTAACGCTTGCTACCAAGTGAGATTTCAATCACAATTTGTCATGGATAAATGGAATGATATTTATTGGTGAAACATTCTTAAATGAATAACGGCAGATGCGCGTGCAGCAGATGGGCTAATT